TATTATTGCATAGTTGTTCTGATGGGATTTTTAATATACTTCAACTTAGAAAATGAACGCTCAGCTGAGCAATTTGTGACCATTAATGTTAAAAATATACGAAAGCCAATATCAACATTTGGAAAGGCACACTCAATATTGTCTTCTACAATCATTTTATATATATGTATGTATTTTTTTCATTTAATGTGTGGGCCTCTTTTTGTGAGCCCTGGTTCAGCTGCACCATTTGCAGTTTTGCACCATATGGTCCATGGTCCATGGTAAATCCGGCTATGGAAAATTTCTGTGGTGCCCCCCTTCCCTTGATGCCCTAAGCACGTGCTTATTTTGCTTAATGGTTAATCCAGCCCTGGACGTGCTGACATACAAGGCTAGGAGTGCAGCGGTTCACACTGTCACCATTAAAAAAAACTGCAACAGTACAGTACATTTAGAATATTGTTTCATTAATTTAATAGTAACAGTCAACATGCTATTATAGTTGTACAATTTATACACACTAAGTTGTACATACATAGTACGTGTAATTAACAAAAGATTACACAAGGCATCCTTAAAATACAAATAACACAATAGGAACCATCAACCACAAATGATAATATGGAATACTCGAGTGGCCAGCCATGTGGTTACACCCCGCACTATGACTCGATTCAAACTACCCATGAGCAACACCTGCTTCAGATACAGTGAACAAACCCAACACTGAACAAAACAGTTCCAACAATCATTGGACTAGAATATAAACCCCTTACACAATCAACCATACTACAGTACTGTACCATGAACCACACCATACTACAGTACTGTACAGTTGCGGAAATGTGTTTCTACACCTCCTGTGGTAACCTCTCTCTCCAAACGGCAACGTTGCAGTAGTAGTATCACTGTTTATGAATGAATGGGTATTGGTCATGTAACGACAGACGTGATTGGTGGAAAGGTTTGCTATAGGTCATATAGGTTGGCCATTTGGAGTCACAGGTTACTACAAAGGGTATAGGAATACATTTCTGCAACTATACTGTACCATGAACTACGGTATGCCAAACTACAGTACAATACCATGAAAAACACCATACTGCAATGCTGTACTATGATCCACACAAAACTAGAGTACAATACCATGAACCACACCATAACACTACAGTACTGTACCATAACCCACACCATACTACAATACCATGAACCACACCGTACTACAGTACCATGAGCCATGCCATACTACAGTACTGTACCATGAGCCACACCATACTACAGTACCATGAGCCACACCATACTACAGTACCATGAGCCCACACCATACTACTTTACTGTACCATGAGCCACACCATACTACAGTACAGTACCCTGAGCCATACCATTCTACAGTACAGTACCATGAGCCACACCATACTACAATACCATAAGCTCACACCATACCACTTTACTGTACCATGAGCTACACCATACTACAGTCCCGTGAGCTACACCATACTACTGTACAGTACCATGAACCATAACCAGGGTAAAATTTGGGTAATTGTCCAGTGTGAGGAAGAGTTTGTGCTTATAATTGAGGAGGACTTCTGGAGGTGCCCAGGCAAATAACTGGGGGTTCGGGGCACTAACTAACGTCCTCCGAAGCCCAGCACCTTTATGTAACTTGGTTAGGTTAGGTTATGTTAGCCAGTTCCACATGATGAAATCGATGCATTGGTACACTTACATCAGTAAGAATCACCTTATAAATTTACTGTAAATTATAGTTTAAGTTTGACTGTTGCATGCATGATGAAATTGATGCATTTGACCATAACACACCATACTACAGCACCATGAACTATAACACACCATACTACAGCACCATGAACTATAATGCACCATACTACAGCACCATGAACTATAACACACCATACTACAGCACCATGAACTATAACACACCATACTACAGCACCATGAACTATAACACACCATACTACAGCACCATGAACTATAACACACCATACTACAGCGCCATAAACTATAACACACCATATTACAGCACCATGAACTATAACACACCATACTACAGCACCATGAACTATAACACACCATACTACAGCACCATGAACTATAATGCACCATACTATAGCACCATGAACTATAACACACCATACTACAGCACCATGAACTTTAACACACCATACTACAGCACCATGAACTATAATGCAACATACTACAGCACCATGAACTATAATGCACCATACTATAGCACCAAGAACTATAACACACCATACTACAGCACCATGAACTATAACACACCATACTACAGCACCATGAACTATAATGCACCATACTACAGCACCATGAACTATAATGCACCATACTACAGCAACATGAACTGCAATGCACCATACTATAGCACCATGAACTATATAATGCACCATACTACAGCACCATGAACTATAATGCACCATACTATAGCACCATGAACTATAACACACCATACTACAGCACCATGAACTATAACACACCATACTACAGCACCATGAACTATAATTCACCATACTATAGCACCATGAACTATAACACACCATACTACTGCACCATGAACTATAACACACCATACTACAGCACCATGAACTATAACACACCATACTACAGCACCATGAACTATAACACACCATACTACAGCACCATGAACTATAATGCAACATACTACAGCACCATGAACTATAATGCACCATACTACAGCACCATGAACTATATACAGTAATGCACAAAATCAGGGTTGTTATGATTTAAATCGATTTAAATCAGAGTAAAAAAATCATGATTTAAATCAAAATGATTTTTTTACTAATAACTGTTTTCTCTTTTTATTCTACATGATTGAAAAGTATATGCAATGCAGCAGGCTAATAACATTATTTGGATTTACATAATTATGTACTGTACTATACTATAGTCTGTTCTCTCCAGTTTTGCGAAACTTTGATCATAGTCACCCTTCCGAACAGTGGAGCACGATGAATTTATAAAGATGATTAAAATGCTAAGACCAGGATATATTTCACCTAATAGACATCAAATTGGAAGGTCTCTTTTGGATCAACCCTACGATTCAGTGATTAAGAATTATTCAGAAGAACTTAGTGGGAAAACAGTTTGCATGGCCATGGATGGATGGAGTAATGTCCATAATGAGCCTATAGTATGTATAACTTTAACAGCGGACAACCGTATTTATCTTGTTGACTCTATAGACACAGAATCAAGACACAGCTGAATATCTGTTGAAATTGGCTGAGTGTGCTACAAAAAAGTGTGAAGACAAATTTGGATGCACAGTAAGAAGCTGTGTAACAGATAATGCTGCTAATATGGCAAAAATGAGAAGTGAATTTGGACAAGATAAATCCATTATAACATATGGTTGCTCTGTACACCTGTTAAATTTGCTTTCACAAGACCTGCAAATCAAGAACATTAAGGAGCACATTACTGATACCATTAAGTACTTCAGAAATCTTCACATCCCAGGATCTTTGTATAGAAGAGCAGGAGGAACAATGCTAGTAATGCTATCAGACACACGATGGAACACAGTGACAGATTCTATTGAATCTAATTTGAAGAACTGGGAGACCCTTGTCAAAGTGTGCAAAGAAAATAGTGAAGACATTGATAAGAAAATTGAAAGGAAAGTTAATGATAAGGCATTAAAAAGAACTGCAGAAGACTATTTAGAGAGACTTAAGCCTATTGCTGTGGCATTGGACTGTGTCCAGAGAGAACATACCCTATTAAGTGATGCTGTAGAAATCTGGGTAAAACCGAAAACTGATATTAAGGAGTATTTAACAGATAAGAAGGATATGGATAATTTTGAAAAAAGAATCAAAGTAGCATTGACACCTGCCCATTTTCTAGCTAATGTGATAGATCCAAGGTATCAGGGCAGACATCTGACTCCTGAGCAGCGAGACATTGCAGAACAGTATGTGTGCGAGTCTCTTCCACATTTCCTTTCAACATTAATGTCCTTCCATGGAAGAAGTGCACCATTTAAAGAGCTCTATTTTGGTAAAGATGTTGTAAAATCTCTCTCACCCCTTGCTTGGTGGCAGTATTTTGCCAATGATATGACAGAAAATGTAATGGATGTTCCTAGGCAATTATTTACAGCTGTTGCATCATCAGCAGGGGTTGAGAGAATTTTTTCCACATATGGATTTGTACACTCAAAGGTAAGAAATTGCCTAGGACAGGAAAAGGCATTTAAGCTTGTCACAGTACATAAGCATTTCAATGTTCAACTAAGCTAATTTAAATGTTTTGAACTATTTTTGTTGTTTACAGAATGAGAATATTGTGTTGACTTGAAGTTATTACCGGTAATTCTTAATACCTGTACACTATAATCCTACAAATTTAAGAAAATAAACTTGTTACCAGTATTATTTTTTTTACAAAATGAGAATATTATTCTGTTGACTTGAAGAAGTTAAGTTACCTATTAATTTTTGAAACACTGTAATCCTATAAGAGCATTTATGTTAAATTTCATTATTACATTTGGATTTGTGCACTCAAATGTAAGATATGTTACCAGTTTTCTTTTATTTTACAAAAAGAATATTATTGTTAAATTCCATTGGTAATCTACTGCATAAACATCTTAATGCCAATTTTCTGTTTATTATCCTGAATAAGCTTTGGTTGAAAAATACTGATTTTATGGTTTAAAAATACTATTTTAATGCAATTAGTAAAAAAATCAAATAAATTGATTTAAATAAAAAAATCCGATTTAAATCAAATTAATCAATTTTTTTTTTCTTTTTTAAAAATCATGATTTTTTCCAACCTTGCACCATACTACAGCACCATGAACTATAATGCACCATACTACAGCACCATGAACTATATAATGCACCATACTACAGCACCATGAACTATAATGTGCCATACTACAGCACCATGAACTATATAATGCACCAAACTACAGCACCATGAACTATAATGCACCATACCTCAGTTCCATGATGAGCATTACACTGGCTAGAAGAATCACAGCTCTTCCCAGCCCCAGTAACTGCTGAGAAATCAGCTTCATGCTAAATTCACCTTCAAAATTCTTCTTAAATGATGCAACTCTCACTATAACATTAATAACACATATCAGTGTCCATATCTACAGTACTGCGTATAATCATAAATTGTATTATCGTGGTTATATCTCTCACTTGAAAATGCAGGTACGTATTGTACAATGCAGCAGGTTGGGCACCATACCTTCAAATGTTATCTGCCAACCACATTCTACCTCCCCAACCATACTACAAACACAACATTGATAAGATTACACACTCTTATCATAGTTATCACTTATTACTGGTTTTATGCTTGCTATTCACCGATTCCCACCGACTGTAATTGCAGTTCCAAATACACGAGGTATAAGGTTGTGTGTTATAGTAGGTTAGGTAAGGGTGTTATAGCAGGTAAAGTAAGGGTGTGTTGCAGTAGATTAGATAAAGTGTGTGGTGATATTTGAACATTAAAAAAAGAGGACACTCTGCCAAGTAGGGGGAAGTGGGTATTTGTACCAGTATCTATTACTTTGTGTTGTATTAATGTTATATACATAAAGTTGCACTGTATATGCTGCAGTAAAAGCATCCTCTGATTGCTGCCTGGTTTTACAAAATAATCTGTAAATTTTGCTGAAGTTTGGAAATCATATTCAGCTCCCATTTTTCTCAACCACTTCAAAAACACTTGAATTTTATCTTCAGTTTTGCAGTGAATTTGCACTTTCGTTCTGGCATGTGTTTAGGGATAACAAAATAAAATGTCAAATAAAGATTTCAAAGAAATTTCTGGTCAGTTGTCTAGCACATATAGTTTTACCATAGTACAGTGTTGAACAGTGTGATGAGTAATTAACAGTAAATAATAAAATGTGGTGTAAATATAATAGAGTCAATGCTAATATGCCTATCAATCACAATTAATGACCCTTTTGAAGTCGATAAACAAGGTTTCTTGTAAACTACAATGAATAGAAAAGATCACTAAAAAATTTCACACTATCAGAGTAACCTCTCGAGGTGACCCCGAGATCAGCTAGATAACGTCAAGGTGTTTCAGTGACAATTGCAGAGACATTTTACTTGGAATTTTCATTTAACTCTTAAATATAAAGATATACATTCTTATATGTAACATACTTCCTTAAAATAAGTAATATTAAATAAATTACAAAGTTGCACTCACACACAATCAGTGAAAATTTACACTAAATAAACATTAACTTCAATTTATGTTAATGCAATGTGATAAACCACTTGAAGACAGAGTGGTTCACCTTTTGAATTAAGTAATATAGCGCAACTCCGACTGTACACTATTTTACAGCTTTGGCGGGTTGTGATCCCTTTAATGCGATAATTTCCATCTTAATAATAATACCTTCCATACACGCTTTTTCTATATCCTTTGCTGTGGGATGTCCCATAACTGCCTGACATTATTTTCCATTTACTCTGCAGTACGAGATGTTCAACAGCTGCCCGGCAGCCATTGACAAGACGCCTGTTATGACAAGTGTCGTTTACATTCGGATCTCTACAGAATAAACAATGGTCGCCATCCGACGCTCCTTCCTCCCAGACACCGTACATTTGCACGACTCGTGTGAATTTTAGACTAAGGACGAGCACAATACCTAGAGGCTCGAATCATGTGTTAGACCTAAGAAACAATATCAAGATCACCTTACTTTATTAACTCTTAGGTTAGACTTGAACATAGTAATTTTTTATCTCAAATCTGGGAATGAAGAAAGTCTTCCATGTGATAAGACATACGGTTCTGCAATAATTAATGGAATGTGCAGCCTACTGTCTCATTATTATTGTACTCCATACCACAGTATCTTGTTTTAGCACAACTTTTCTTGAGCAGGAGAAATACTTTGCAGAAAGGATTCCCAACAACAGAATGTCCCTTCGATATGGTCACGATCGACTTGTAATGTACTGGTGTGTGGAACCAACAAGAGTTATGAGAAAGCATATATGTAAAACACTATACAGTATGTCTGTAATCCTCTTAAAGAGATTATTTTACAACTTATATACTCAATTATAAGCTATGCTTATTGCAACCTGTAAGCTATATTTAAAATTATCATTGATAAGCATGTATCCAAGTTAGGAGGATGCATGAATTTATAACATATGCAGTTAGTAATCTCCAAGCTTTGTAGATCACACAAGAGATTATTTTTCAACTCGCATGCTTTGTAGTAAACATTCCAATGCAAACTACAGTACTAACAAGTTTTATGTATGGCATGTGGAAACATTCCCATTGGAGGCACGACACTTTTTTATATTGGACAAACAAACTTTGCCAATCTATCATCTTTATTCTATCTTTGTGATACCAACCAAACTAATTAGGTTATCAATGTTCTAGTACTTTGTCACAGACATGACAATTTAGAAAGGCACTGCAAGAAAGTCTCATCACTCTCGACCACCAGCTACATACTATAAAGGATCCAGATTTCTCAGCTTAGCTAAAGTAGACAGGTAACAGCCGTTTAGCGATCGTTCACTTACCAATTTAAATTTTAACACCTTTGATTCAAAGATCTGCAATTGTTCGGTTTAGCTATCAACTCCCTGGAAAAAATTCAGGAGGGAAGATGAAAAATAATCCTTGATAATAAAATGGTAGATTCTAGTAACTATTCGGTTGAAGAACTTGTATGAGTGAGGGTTTACTTGCCATAACAGGATATACTATTGCTGAAATTCATCATGGAAAACTTTCATCTCTAGGAACATAACCCCCATGTAAATTGGCAACCTGCTTTATTAACAAGTTCCAGCCAATTGATAGACCTAGTGTTGTGGGTGGTATGTTAATACAGTTGTTGATTTTATTAATTTTTGTTTGTTACAGTAAACTGTCCAGTCAATTGTCCGATGCATCTTGGCATTCATAAATCCAGCACACCCACAGCCCTAACCATGGCATAAGTACAGAACTGCACTGTTATGCATTTGTGAAAATTGCTCACTTAAAATGAAATGAGAATTCCTGAATATTCCCACCACTTTAAAATTCCTTACACCCTTGCAACCATATAGGTATCAGGTACTGTACTGTATTTCCATTACTGTACTGCAATGTGCTAAATTCACTTAAGCCTAAATGTGTCCACATTCAACCCAAAGTAAATAAAACAAACATGTGCTTTACCGTTTATTGTAAAAATAGATGTTCAAAAGCACATTTTTGATGTGGACGATGAACTCCACATACCTTAGGGGACGATGGTGGCGTCCATTGACTGACCCCTGTACTGCTGAGCCAATACTGTCTGATGCTGCCAATTATCATCAGCAGGGGCAGTGTTATGGAGGATACAATATTGATGACTTTTCCTTCCAGTGTACATTTTGCTCCAAACTTGTGTGTATGGAGCTGAATCTTCCTACATTTAGGGATTTTACCAAGTGATTTTTCCATTATCACATTTTAGATGACCAGGCTGACTCACCAAACAAGTGGTTATAGCCTACCCAGTAAATATAAGAGAAGGGGCTTTTTACTACAAGAAAAACTTTTATCAAAAAACTTTCCATAAAAATAAATAAATTCAGCCTGTGAAGTTAAACTATTAAAATGATTCACAAATAAAAATCAAGTTTCTATAGGGCTATGCCATTTTCCCCTATCAGTTTACATTTGTTGTAATTTAGTCTTCCTCGGCCCCTTGCTTATGGTACCAGACCTAAGTACCCCTAATCACTGGCAGGCTCCAATTATTATCTAATGCATTCTATCACTTAACAGGAGGGCCCTATTTGTACATTCTTTATACTGATTTTGTTTCACTTGCCAGACAAAAAGGAACTGCATACATGTCTTAGCATAACAATGGCATGCAATCATGCAGCCACTGAATAATCCAAGTTCCTTGCACCTACAGAAGACTAAGAAATGCTGCTGGCTTGCAACCAACACCAAATATCACCATGAAAAGAAAAACCTGTTCAACAAATCCTTCACAAACTTATCTTGTACATTCCCATTTCCAGTCTCTTCCATTCCTCTTTCCAAATAACACACCAACTGAATCCTTATCTGTAAGCATTCCAGAACCTTTCTATCCAGTCACTTCTTTCCATAATCTGAACAGGTCAAGTCTTCTCTACAAAACATGGACCTTGTATACTTTTCATATTACACTATCTGTCAACAGATAATCATTAAAGCAATCACCATGCTCCAAAAAAAATTTTTTTTCAATAAGCGAATTGAGTTGTATAACCAAAATACTCGAATTTAATACTTTCTAACTTTTGTTAGAATGGTCAAATCTACTTACATTTTGTATGTTGCTGCACCTTAACTTTTTTATTTCTAATCTATATTCACCCATAGCATCAAACACCAAAAAGAAGGAGAGGTCCATTTGCATCAATTAAAGCTTTAAATCATTTCCTTTACCTAGGCACATTTATCCAAGAATATTATTAGTTTCTACATTTCATTTGTTTATCCTAGGAAGGTGCAGTGTCATTGTAATTCACATGACTACTTAGTCGGCGTGGAATTCCTGACTGCAGATGCATATGAGTTCCCAGCTCCACCTCCTCGTTGTGACATTCCATTTACATTTGGTATTCCACCTCTACCTCCACTACTTCTGCCGCCACGATATCCACCACTCCCACCCCTAAGGAGAAAATGTTTAGAATACTCTTAGTGTTTGTGTAACAACAGTATAACGAAGATGGTAAATAAATCTTAAAAAATGAGAAAGCATGAATTTTTATAAAAGTTGAGTGTACAAGTGATCCTGGTGGCCTGTTAAGGATTGCAAGGCACTCAAACAACTATTAATACACAATCTTTCCTTTGAACAACTTCTAAATGAGGAGAATTTGATTTTGAACATATTGACCAACAAGAAATTACACAAACTTCCTACTAAAGAATAATTATTTAAATTTCGAGGTGCAGAGGGCTTTTCAAAGCTTTATTAATGAGAAATACTTTACAACTTGATATAGCCAATGCTTATAAAATGACCAAAACATCCATGAAGCATCACCATACCTGTAATATCCTTGGTTGTAATTATAAGTGCGATAGTAGCCACCGCGGTAGTAACCTCCACGTCCACGAGGGTAGTAACCTCTCCTTGCTGAACTCACACCAAAGGTTTCCACATTAATCTTGCGCTCAAGCCTCCAATCTGGACGTTGACTCTTCCTGTAAAGTTATGATGCCAAATTGTTTACAGTAAAATAGAACAACTAGTCAAACTATGTGATATAGAACAAAAATATACAGATATATGCAATTTTTGAGAGATGACAATGTTTGTTTACAAGTATCACAAGCACAATTACAGTAAAACCTCGATTAACTGCCCACATATGGGAGGGAAGGGGCCGACGGATAATCCGAAAGGTCGGTTAATAGTAAACAAACTCTACGGAAATAAAACATACATTTTCAATGTACCTATCCCTAACCTATCTCATTTAAGTCTATTCATTTTTATTCATTTGCCATTCATATTTCAATATAATTTGCTTTAAAACATTAACCACTTTAGTAAATAAATATGAACCAGCACAGAAACCGTGAATAAAAAATGGAAAAGTCAAAGAACATAAGGCATCACGAAAATTGTGACCAAGTCCCAGGTTGCTGATCTGACTTTCTACCTCATTTACACACAATTGCAGGGTCTCAATTATTTCTCTTACTATTGGCAACACAACATACATATAGGTATATTGTTTCTCACTCTTGATGTTTTTTTTAATTTTTGCATTTCTTTATGGTTCTTTATTATTATTATAACAATGTATTATTATTATTATTATAATAATGCATTATTATTATTATTACATTATCGCCCCCCAGGCCCCGATGTGGGTCAGTGACCTGTGCCCGGATGGGCTATTCCCCGTAAAAAAAAAAAAAGAAAAAAAAAGGAAAAAATTTTTTTTAGGGATCCAGGATCGGCGATTAATCAGAAGGTCGGTTAATCGAGGTATTACTGTACACAGAAATTTGTATTCAAACTCCGTTAAATCTAGTAACTATAAAACTTCCTTCAACAAATCTGGTAATTTGTTAGTCAGTGATACTAGGTACTCGTGCACTTTCAATCTTAATAGTATACGTATATTATTTTGGAAACTTCAGAGCCTGACTACTTGACCAGGGCCCGGATGTACTAACATTTGACTCGAGTCTGCCACGATAGCTCACTTGGCCAAAAATCTTAAGTGAGGGCTAAATGAAAACTAAAATTTGCATGCCGACACCGAATTTATGATTGTTGTAGCCAAGACTACATCCGTCAACCAATCGGCAACCATGTTACAAATATTTTACAGCCCCTTCACCCAATCGCAGAGCGGAAGCTATGATACAATACTACTCCACTGGAAATGCACACAAGATCACACTCACCACAATGCTACAGCCACACAATATTAGTTGTAAATCAACAAAATCACAATTGAGGTTTATTTATCCCCACATTTTCTATTTATTTACTTTCTCTGCTTTAGTCTTCTATTTATACTGTAGTTTCTATTTCTACTTTCATTCAATCATATTCCATTTTCATTAATAATCTTTACATTATTTCTCTTACCTTCTTTCTTCATACTTAGACAGAGAGGTAAAGGAGGAGGTGTGTGTGTGTGTGTAGGGGGGGTGTAATCGTTACCCTTGCAAATTTGTGTAAACAAAAGAAGTTGGAGGTACAAAGCACCAATCATAAAAATTTTAATTTAAAGAAAAATAACTAAATGATGGGGCTTTTTTTTTAAAGATGTATAACATGATCAAAATTCATAATGGACCACACACTACGCTAAAAGCAGTGTTACCTTGGAGAATGCATTGTACTTGCATTGGGCAAGTGCACCAGCAGTGTGACTTTAAAATTTGTCAGTGCATCCGGCCCCAGACTTGCACGAGACAATGTTGTTAGACCGAGTGCTGGGTACTTTGATTTATGTTAAATGGTATCTCTTGCCCCTTCCATTTACGATACAGCACAATTCTTACCGGTAAAAAGAAGTTAGTAGTAGCAGCCACAAGAACTTTACCAGTCGCAACCAGTTGGTCGCTCAATATGTATCGATTTTAAAATCCGGTTTTATTATAGAGGGAGAATGATTGGTCCTAGATTATGTGATTAGTTCAACTGTAATGTCTACTTCACACTGATTACAGAAGCTAAACTACAGTACAAACATTAGTTATGCTTCCATCACACATCTAGACCCCACAATTCTGCAGCAAGAAAAGGAGATTCCAATTTATATAAATGTGACTGTTCAAGGTTAAGAGATCATTGGACCTCAGTAAATTTCTCAAGAATAAGCTACTCCCTGAATTCCCAGACTATTGGATGCATTCAAATATTTGTTCTTGCACTCCTGTGTTTATGACAGCAAATTGTAACATCACAATGATATGTATGTGAGCAAGAGGTATGTAAAGGTATGATGTGTGACGAAAGAACATATATATATATATATATATATATATATACTGTAAAGTATACACAAGCATGCATGAGACCAGTGCATACACACAAGAAAAATCCTTACCCTTTACTGCGCTCAATAGCCTCACAAGAAATACTGTCGAAGAAAGACTTGCTTTTATCATAAAAAGTTGACTGATCATCCACATCGTCCCCTCCAGCTGTTTCATGTCCAGAATCATCCTTTTTGTCACCATTCTCTGTAATCTTTGTTTTTGCAAGCTGATTTCTAAGCTCCTCAAACTCCTCATTTGCTTGCTCAAAGTCATAGTCTTTTTCAAACAACTGCCGATCCTGGAACTGTCTCTGCCGACTACCTTGGTTGAAGATCTGTCCTCTGCCGCGCTGACCAGAGGCTCTTCTACTTCCACGGCCACGATTCAATCCACCACCCCTCCCCTGGTACTGCTGTTGGTGATACTGATAGTACTGATTATTATGATACTGTTGCTGCTGGCTATGGTTCTGTTGTGGTTGCTGCTGTTGGTTTTGTTGCTGAGCTTGCTGTTGCACCATCTGCTGCTGTGTCTGCTGTTGATTACTGCGACGATTTTGGCCACCTTGGTTACCATTCCTTTGAGGTCTGCTGAAAATTACCTTGGGTTCAGTAATATGAATGAATAATTAAAGAATTCCTTCCATAAAAGCATGGTCTTGTTTTTCTTCCTGTGGCACAATTTTATATCATTATCCTGTACCCAGTGAATCAACAATCCTTTTGTAGTTGTAAATACTACCTTTCTTAACTGTATTTCTACAATAACACAAGTGTGAAGTAAACAAGGTCTAAAACACAAGACAATTTTTACATCTTATCAAATAACTTAGGATAATCAACCCTTAAAAAAAAGTAATTGCAATGCTTCTGATGTTCATGGGGGGAAAGGAACGTGTTGTCAGACTTTGTTTCCTCCAAAATTAGTCATGTTTAACAAGTTTTCAATGCATACACACCACTTCTGAAACTTTCCTCCAGATAGAAAGAGGATTTCCCCAAGGATGATAAAATATTGTCAGCTATTAACACATCTGATTAATTCCAAAGATACTGGTACAGGGGGCCCTCCAAATTCGCGGGGGTTAGGTTCTGAAAATGGCCGCGAATCGCCAAATCCGCAAATAATATTTGCAGATCGGGGGGTGGGGGGTGTTACATTTTTACTTGTGTACAAAGAAAGAAATACATATTCCCTTTGTGTTTGCCCTTAGGATAATTATTTCTTTTACCTGTAGTATTAAATAATATTTAGAAAATCCTCACAAAATCAGAAACAAATTTATTAAAAATGAGAGGCTACCCTCAAGTCCATACTCTATTAAGAAAGTAATAGAGCACAGACTTGAGGGAAGACTCGCATTTTTAATAAATTTGTTTCTGATTATTTGCGAGAATAGTTTCCCATTATTATTTTTTATATGTGTTTTGTGTGTGTACACACACACACACACACACTACAGGTAAAGGAAATTACTGTCTCTAGAACGAATGGCTCCCTGTCCCAGCTGCATAAATAACGGCAACTTTAAAACTACCCACAGCCATTCTTGGGTACAATCAGGGTGTCATCCGCAAATAACTGAGAACCGCGATGTAAAAATCCACAGACTTGGGGGGCATACTGTACACAATTTCTGGCTAGAAAACCATAACAATTTTTAAAAAAATTACCTTTCTTGCTGTGCCTGCCTTTGTTGTTGTGGTGGAGACTTCTTTTTCTCTTCCCTAGTGGGAGGTGGGGAGACCTGCACTCCAGCATCAGACACGGGGGACTTGCGGGTAGTGGGTGTGGACGATCGAGATCCTACTAGGATGTCTGACAGCATACCAACATAAAGCAAAATGCACTTCTGTTAATATATGGTTTCTAATTAATCTGTGATATAACAGAAGAGACCCAAAAGCCAACTCCAAATAAATCCATATTACAGCAACTGATGTTTTAAGTAAAACAATTCATCAATTCTGTGGCTTTAAACAAATATAAGATAGTCCCACAAACATTAATCCATAATCATTTACTGGAAACTTAATAAGATTGTAGCTATAGTCATTTTTTTGTCAACAGTAATAGGCTCAGAGCCCCCCTCGTGGCTCATTGGTTCATAATGTCCGATTACTACCAACATTGCAAATAACTGTAACTGCTAAGAACCACCCAATTCTGGCTCGCTTTATTGCTGAATTTAATGTCTAATGTTATAACTGCTCAAAAAACATTAACTTTCAAATAAGAGTGGGGAAAAATCATTTTAAATAGTGTAAAGAAAATTTAGTCGAAGTCACAAACAAATTCATGCTTTTACACAACACATTCGTGGCCACTACCGTATATACTCGTGTATAGTTCGAGTTTTTAAGACCAAATTTTTAGGCAAAAAATTGGGGGTCGTCCTATACATGCGTAATAGTTTTGTTAGGTTGAATCCGTGCATGATGGGAAGGGCGAGGAGCAACTTTTAGCTTCAGACATGAAAAATATTTACCATTTACTGCCAGTAAACATTGGAAACGTAAAATATGTACCAATTAGTAATGAAAAGGTGTGCACTTCCTTCAGCAAATGAAGCTCACTAACTTACAATAGGCTAAATTGCCTTACAACATGCTTTCAGTAGTCTATGTTGAAGTTCTTAGCACAGGCTAACTTATATCATATACGGTATCACAGTTCTCATTGATCTACAAAAAATACCGGTAATAAAAACCTTTTCGATATTTCACACTTAATATAATACCCAGTAATCTACTTCAACCTCCTATTGTTTACAACGATGCATCACGCACCACCAGCTGTCGAGTGTATCAGCTAGATGGTACACGTGTTTTTCGAATCTTTTTCAGTTAAAAAACTGTTACATCACATGTATACTTTGCCTTAACTGCGCCTGAATGAATATATTCTCGGAAATAAATAGTAGTTTTGCTGAAACGTGATGTATTTTAATGTAAAACAGGATAAAATACATGACGAAAACAAAAGATTTTACCTAACCTTCCGATGTTCAAGAGGAGTTACTCGTTTTTTAATAGTTTTTGGTTAAAATATTGTTATATTACAATGGTATTCTATTCATACTGTGCTTGATATAATGCATTCACGGAAATGTAATATTTTTGCTGAAATGACGTACGTATTAGTGGAAAGTGGGATAAAATCGTGATGAAAACAATGACTTTCGCTTTCTTTCGTTCAAAAGATGTTACCGTAATCGCTTTTCGAATGGTTTTCAGTTAAAAACAAAACTGTTGTATTACAATAATATTCTATCCTAATTGGCTTGAATAAATACTATGATACCATATTTCGGAATATTTTCATTAAAATCCATCAAAATCATTTTCCTTGTCATCGTCTGCAGCACCAAACAGCTTCTCCCAGTCCTCTCCTTGAACAGGGCTAGAGGGTACGTGTTTTTCGAATCTTTTTCAGTTAAAAAACTATTGCATCACACGTATATTTTACCTAAACTGCGCCCGAATGAATATATTCTCGGAAATAAGTAGTAGTTTTGCTGAAATGTGATGTATTTCAATGTAAAATAGGATAAAATACATGATGAAAACAAAAGACTTTACCCAAGCTTCCGATGTTCTCGAGATGTTACTCGTTTTTTTAATAGTTTTCGGTTAAAATTCTGTTATGTTACAATGATATTCTATTCATACTGTGCTTGATATAATGCATTCACAGAAATGTAATATTTTTGCTGAAATTACATACGTATTACAGTGGAAAGTGGGATAAAATCGTGACGAAAACAATGACTTTCGCTTTCTTTCATTCAAAAGATGTTACCGTAATCACTTTTCGAATGGTTTAGTTAAATAACTGTTGTATTACAATAATATTCCCTCCTAAATGACTTGAATGGAAATATACAATATTTTTGTTGAAACTACCCGCGTTTCAGTGTAAAGTGTCGTAATAATAAATGGTAAACAATTTGCCTTCGGCACTCGGTGTTTCAGGCATGGCGAGCCTCAGTTTATAGGACGTAGAGCGTTTTTACTGAAAGTTTTGTTGTTCCATTACCCTCAAAAACGTGGGTCGAACTGTAAACGAGGAACATCATAAATTAACGATTTCTTGGTCAAAAAATCGGGGTCGACCTATAAACGAGGGGGGGGGGTTATAGACGAGTATATACGGTTTCTCTTTTCACCAATTATTATGTATATGAGGACAAATGACACCAAACATATTAAGCAAAGGATAATAATGACCATTTTATAATAATTAGATTAAAGTATAAACACCATTCACATAAAGATGTCATTTAAGACGAATGTTACAGGGAGGTAGTGCACTTGACAGAAGAGCCGCTCAGCTGATCTTAACATCGCATGATTGATGTCCTAATTATTTTTATAGTTTCACATTTTCCCATCTTAACAAAATCGAGAGAGGGAATGGCCTATAAAATATTGTGTTAACATGTTTTTATCTGTTTATGCACTTGCATATTTATAAAAACTCTCAATGAGAAAATTTCTCCCCATCCTTTGATCGATATAAAGTACAGAGCCTGAATAAAAATACCTGTACTGTATTTCAATTGCCACTCAGTTCAACGGCTCTTCTGCCAAGCGCACTACCTCCCCTTCAAGGACACCTGTATGCGAATATGTGGCATTTACACTCGAGTATACTCATTATATAATGGTCATTATTTTCCTTTGCATTATATACTTGGCATCTTTTGTTTTGATATACATAATTAGTGAAAAGAGAAGTAATGGCAAATGTGTTCTGTAAAAGCCTTGTTTGTGACTTCAATGGTAAATATTTATTAAAAAAAATTTCCACTAGTGTCTTGAAAATTAATGTTTTCAAGCAATTATATCTTTACATACATTAAATTCAGCATTAAATTGGGCCACATATGGGTATGTTTAACAGTTTTACATGGATTTATTTGCAATATAACAAAATTAATCACACATTATATACGAGCCAATCGGCTGCTACGATTGCGGGGCTAGTACAGCCAGCTAAAAAAAATATTGAACGAAGAAAAAAGTAATTTTTACTTATAAATACTACTCCTACAATCAGCGAAATTATCAAACACTCATGGATACTACAAGCTATGCTAATACAGTATACTGTGCCTGTGTCCAACATACAATGTTCTAATACTGTACATCCCAAAGTTTTAACACTACAACCTTTCAACCAGATATATTTCAGAAGAATCCTATGATACTCAGCCACACTGTGCTGACAAATCTAGGGTTTCCTCCACCCTTGTCCTTAGCCAGTCACATATTGTATCCCAACACCTGAATCTCCCCACCCCATATGGTTGTCAGGTGTCATGTATGTCACTATATGCACATGTACCATTTATTCTTCATGGAATAACTACAAAGTCAGTTAATAACAGCAACTAAGAATAAGTGACAAGTGCATGATAAGGATGAAGGACAGTTGTGATACCCAGTAGTCAGTAAATATCCAATGATTGTGTCAGGTAAATGATGAAGGGGGGGGGGGGGAGTTGCAGGTGGCATTCATCAGTAATGCAGGTATCATTTCCTTCAGATAAAAGTGATTACCACAATAAACTATTTCAGATGAAAGTATTTTGTGATACTGTACCAATTTGTCTAAAGGTAGACCCTGCTATCATTTGGCATCACAAAAATTGTGACCAAGTCCCAGGTTGCCATTCTGAGTTTCTGCCTCATTTACACACAATTGCAGGGTCTCCAATGTTTTTCTTACTTTGACAACACAACTTATATCTATCATTTCTCACTATTGATATATTTTTTTTAATTTTGCATTTATGTATGGTTCTTTATTATTATTATATACTGTATAACCCCTCTTCCCCCAAGACCCTGATGTGGGTCACTGACCTGTGCTCAGGTGGGCTAATCCCCCAAAAAAAGAAAATCACACACACACACTCATTTTATGTCGGCTACATTCGAATCAAATTATTATAATAAAACTGATGAATCAGACTTCAAAATACAGAACAATCACAGTACACTGGAAAAGTTAAAACAATCTACCCTCAACTAAAAGTGTATGATAGAAATTCCATCATACTTAAACAGCTGTACTAAATAGGTCAATTACTCAACAAGTAAACACCAACTCTTTCATACAGTTTCTCTCCAACGAGAAAGGTCTACCTTCATATTCTTACAGAACAACTCTTCCCGATAACCTACCTCTTGTACGATTCAAGTTTCCCCACTCTTAATTTTCTATCAAATCTTTGTCAACCTAAATTCCATATTTAAGCACAAACTGTATCACTTCAGTACCTGTACAACAAGAATTTTCAAGCTAGAAGAAAAAATTACCTGCACAGGACAAATTAATTACACCAAAGAAATGAATTTGCTATACAGTAGTTCAAAATACAATTAACTGAAAGTGCAGGTAAGGAAATGCTGATGATGGCTTTTAAATCTAGTGTTAAAGGTGTAAAAACTCCAAATTATTAGGATAAAATAATGAATCTGGACAGTAGGACTTATGAACATGGGTTGACAACAATGCTGAGCTAGTCAATAGCTGCACCGGCAAAGGCAAGTCAAAGTTCTCACTCACCCAGATGTATCGGCATTTACAGAACTGAAGATGTAGTGTAACTAAACGTTACATGCTCTAATTATCATTTCAGCAAATTTTCCATACATACTGCCAATTCTAAATTATTTCTACAATTAAACACGCACAATACCACTCCAAGAACTAAATTATTAGTAACTTTTATATTTAGTATTAAATTAGCTGCCTAACAATTTTTTTTTAACTAGAGTACAGTGGTCCCTCGCTTAACGAAATTTCGGTTAACAAATTGCCTTCCATAAGAATATTCAATTCGGTTAATAAAATTCTTACGAAAATGTTTCGACAAGCTTTGGCTTGCTCACCAGCAGGAAGATTATTCCACCAATACAGAAATCGGTTCGAGGGCTTACATTCGTTAAAATTGGAGTAAATATCAAGAAGGTTGTACTCTTCATTAATTTTTCAAGTTTTATATTAAAATGTTCAGTCATTTTAACACTTATTTAACATAATTGCAGTACACGGAACTAGTTTTTGGTGCACCCAACAGCCACTTCACTCACCCACCAAGACCTCAGTTTATCTCTGTTCATTGGAGGAAACATCTTGCTTGTGGGTCTCTAGAACACAGTATTTTTACGTTTTTACAGTACAATTATTGGTCATTCTGAAATTTATTTAACATAGACAATATATAGTGCAGTGCAGTGTTGATTAAAAAAAAAACAATCTTGAATTACACCTATTGAACTTAAAATTTTATGGGTGAAATGACGGCATGAAGCATGGGGTGATTTCTCTTCCACCCCCACTTCCTTCTCTTCTCCCTTCTCCTCCACCCCCATTTCTAATTCCCATCATCATCATCAACCAGGAGCCTTCTATATGCACACCTCAAAGTAAGTGTACTTTACTCCTTTTTTTTTTACTTTGTATGTAATTTTTGGTGAGCTGGGACCAATTACCCAAAATCCCATTGGAACAATGGTTTCAGTTAATGAAATTTTTGGTTAACGAACGACCTTCTGGAACGAATTGTGTTCGTTAACCGAGGGACCACTGTACTTGTAATAAATACTATTTTATCTACTTTACTCCCATTGCAACTTCAGCATTTTGTTATGTCGTACGTACCGTGCCAAAACTTGCTGTAGTATAAAAATAATTTCACCTTCCAATTACAGTGCTACCATCACCTACATACCATACAATTTTAGGAACAAATGCCAAAATGTTTATGTAGTATTTAAATATTCAGCTTACAGTATAAAGAAATAGCAATGTGAAAGTCCACAAAAACTTACCACTAGCCCATAGGGCATATTGAGGTACTGTACTTGTATATCATACATTCAGGGACATAAAGCAAGGTTTCTAGATGGCTCTAGCTTTGCCTTTTATGCATGTTGTGTGTGGCACTTGTTCCTACCTGTTTGGTGGAGTGCGTGTGTACCAGACTGGGGTGGGGGACCAATTGGGGCCTGTACTGCAACTGGGGCCGTGCCAGACGGCTGATCCAGGTTACCACCACCACCACCACCCGCCACAGTACTCAACTCACTGGGCTGGGATGTTGACCCCATTGGGAAACCTCCCGCCCCTGGGATACCCTGCTGTGTCATTGACTGGCCATAGGCACTGTACGACAGACCCAGGCCCCCGCCAATTGGCCCAAGGGACTGCCGAGAAAATGGTGCCGCCTGGAAGGATGAGGGAACTGCAGGTGCAGAGTGCTGAAATGCATGAATGGTTAAGATTAATAAGCATTCTGCTTTCCTCTATTAGCTACTACAGTACCATAGTCTTTTCTACTTCTATTCATTAGTTAATGAAGTCTGGTAATGACAATATCTTTACTCAGATACAAAATCTTATAATTTCCTGCACTCTTATTTTGAAATCCTTAACCTGTATTGTATAGATCAATTCATGCCACCTAATATGAATATTTTAGGCAGATTCGATTCTTTTTGTAATTATAGTATACTGTACATACAAAAAAAAAAGCCACTACATATGTAAATAAATGTAGACCCAAAAAATTTTCATGAAGTTTGGATAACATGGCCAAACAATTGGGGTCAAGTAGGAAGGGATAATTCTCCAAATTAACATCTAGACATTCCTACATAAAAAGAATGCTATTACACAATATTTTTCTTTGCATATGACAAAGGTATTTTATATGGGTTAATGATAGTCGAGTAGGATCCTCAACATCTAATTTAATATGGTAACTTTGATTGAGCCATCATGTAGTGTACAGGCAAAAGAAGAGATTTTATAAAGGGTTGAAATTTATTAATTTTTTTTCCCCGACAGTAGGTTCTCAAATCCAGAAAATTAAAATTCATTTTTATAATTCCAATAGGCAAGTAAAGTGGTATCAACACTGGTCTGAGAAACATTCACCCATAAATAACTGTCAAGGCACAATTGAATAAACAAGTCTTACTTCTATTATAATCAATAATAATTAGCAGATTCAACAAAGTGAATTACACCTGGTAAATCTATCAAGGAAAATATTGCATTTAAGGTCAACAGAGCAGACAAATGTAATACTGTACAGTATACAACAGCTGATCACAACATGTAGTGGTACCCATGAACTACGTTTCCTGGAAACGATTGTAATCATCGACAATGCTGTTATTTTCCAATTTTTTCATGAATGTTAATACAAGTCATTAACTATAATTACTTTATGATAGATATAGAAAACAGTCACAGACTACTGTATTATAATCAGAAACTCACCTGGACAATTGCAGGATCATTATGAAGACCCCCTGGAAGGGTAGGCTGCTTTGGGGTGTCACACACTTCTATCTTTTTGATGTCCGTGCCACGGAAAATAATGTATTCATACACCTCATCTCTGGCAGGAACTGGCATTTCTGTTGGTCGATCCTCAGTTCCAAAGGATCGCACTATAAAGAAAAAAAAAAAAGATTAAGTTGCAAGAAAAAATCTAATGAAGGCATTTGAAACTAAATTTGCTATGGCAATTCAATCCTAACCTAAACATTTGTACAAAATACAGTACCTTATACCTCTGGCATTAATGGAATCAAACAAGTATGCATCACCATGGTTGTTTGTTTTGATTTCAGCCAATAAGAACAAAGTGCACAACTCAAAAACATGACATGTTACCAGTCAGCTGTTGCCTGTGAGATGGTAATGCACACTATGTTGTCATTGTTACATGTAATGAAACTGCAGTATTTGTATAGTTGTGAAAAAATTAACTACAATATTCTTACGTGACTAAGAAATAAAGAAAATATCCTATAAAACTATGAAGCAAGAAAGAAAATACATTATAAAACTATGAAGCAAGAAAGAAAATACATTATAAAACTATAAAATAAGAAATATGAAGAGCACGAGTGTGTATTGTCTGTGGGAGGTGATCATGTGTGAACGAAGTGGCCACTTTGTCGATAATGTGTCTGGCGCTTGGCTGGTTAGGCCTATTTCAGTGTACACACTGCACTGCAGGTCAGATGGGATGCTGTCTCTGCCGACCCTTAGCAATGGGGCTCCTACACTCCTCCCCCGCTCAGTGCACTAGCTCGCACACAAAATGGCTACAGTGAGAAGTCTAACTTGACAACAATGCCACCAGAAATATTAAGACAAAACATTATCTGTGCCTCATATACTGAAGTACAGTACAGTAATTAAAAGTAAAACAAAATGTGTTTAAATAAACAATAATGTTATCTTAAATTCTGGAGCCGAGTCCGGTAGATTTTGACCTAATGGAGACAGCAACTGGGGATTCATCAGCCTAGGGGGACAGCAACTTGCACATACAGAATGTAAGGTGCCCTTTTTAGCCATTTTCAGGAAAGTGTATCTTATGGCATAAAATATAGTATTTTCTCTTATAAAAACCTGGGTATTCGCCATGCGATGTCTCCCCCCAATATGACGTCATGGCATACACACAGCAGAACAGCCACACACTGAGTCAACTGGGTGGTTGACTAGCATCACATCACCCAGAGAATGGAAGGAACTATTTCATGTAAATAAAATGTATGTTTTTTTAGTTATGATGTGCTATGTATCATTTTATTATCTACTGTAGCAATTTTTGGTGTATGCACAATACAGAATAACAATGGATTGGAACATTCCCAGTTACTCCATGTTAAATCTACCTCTGACAACTAATTGGATTTGGTGAACATCTCCACTTCATTACCAGAGGTATACCTGTATACAATACCCGAAGAGGCAGAAGATGTATTTTTTACTGCAGGAAGGCCAAAATTCAGGAGAAAACATTCTCGAAATACTGAATATCATTCTTTCACTCTTACTAATGTACTGTACAGTTCACACATGACACTTCACTGTACCACCTTCCCAATAATTCGCTACATATAAGCTATAAACTCAATTATGCACTGCCGTTCCTGGATGTTCATCCTCTCCTTTAGTACATAATTTACAACATCCTCCTATCTCCAGTCTTTCCCTCTCCCTCCTCCCACTGAAATCTGAATTATATACCATCTAAGCAAACCTTGATCGGTTTACTCCAACATTTCTCACATCTACACCTTATTTCTGTATTCTTTTAACCATTTACATTGCACTTAAGGGGAACGTCCACGTGTAACTTTCTTTTTTTTTTTACTTTTGGATGGATTTGTAGGAAACTTTCACACATTATTTAGGATCACCCAGCAGTGTTTCCATTAAACTTTCAGCAAATTCAGGTGATAAATTGATTTTTATTCTTTATAATCAAAACCCAGGAAACACTTTTGATGGAAATGATGAGTGCTTTTAATGATATAAAGCATGACTGATGAAACTGTACTTAGGCTTTAGAACCAAACCATTACCAGTACAGTATACCCATTCAATAACAAGAAAAATAAACTAAAATAATAATCATAAAAATTCTCTATTTTGGGAGGCATTTCCTTAGGTTTAACAAATTTTAGTTGCACACTACTTCTAAAGCATAATATTCAATCATTGGTGAATCTAATAAGGTTTGAAATTTTAAAATCGCCCAAGAACTTTTGAAGTAATTAATTTTATGTGCAAATGTTTCGAGTTACAAGTTCTTGGCACCTCCCAGTTTTGCACGATATTACTTGCTAGATAGGAAAAGTCAAAAGGCACGACCTTTCTCTTTGTTGCCAGGTTTAAAACACCTTAGAATGATCCAGACTCCTAAAACTCTGAATTTTGTCTACTTTTCTTCTTAGGTGGTGTCGGGCGAGAAGCATCTTGCTTCACAAAGTGTCATGAGAGAAGAACTCGTGGTAGCAAATGCAATAGAGAAGAAATTAGATGCCCAATCGCCACAGATGCGGTCTAAAAAAGACCGAGGATACTGCATAAATATTAGGGCAAGGAAAGGGGGAGGGGGGGTGGGGGTGTGCAGAGGAAAATTGTGAGACGAGATGGGAAAAACTTGTGTTTGTGGCTGTATAATTCTCGGGTAAGTCATACAATAAATTATGGTGGAGTACTGTGCTGTACGTAAAGTATTTTTCAAATTTAACACAGTTTGCAAGCAATATAGATGACTTTGTACTTGCAAACAAATGGACTTATGAACAGACCTCTGAAACCAATTTATCTGCCTGTACATGTAATATTATGACAAAAAAGGAGAATCACCTAAAACCAACTACTGTACGAGGCAAGAGATCTAATTAATCTTTTCTTTTGAAGGAAGATGATATCACACAACATTCATACTTGGCAATGATGTAGCTAAAGGTTGCCAGAGTTCAGAGGATTGTTTCAGAAAATCTGATATTTGCAATTTTTAGATTGTTTGCAGCTGGACGATCACCTTAAGCGCATTATTTTTATTGCTTTGAGCTTGCACCTTCCTCTTGCACCTAGCTGCACTTAAGCACACTAAGTATATATTTTCCCTTCCTCTTGTATCCAGTCTATGCTACACATCAATACAATGAGGATGACTAAGCAATATCCTTGCAAATTGCTCATCTTAGCCTTCCTGGATCAGTTCTTGTAGGTAGTAGGCAGCTACCAAACAGGGAGGTACTACCGCTTGGGAAGATATTGGCAGCATAATGTATTGTCTAATGGTAGACCCCCTGCTGACATATGGCATTACAAAAATTGTGACCAAGTCCCAGGTTGCTGATTATCTTTCTGCCTCATTTACACACAATTGCAGGGTCTCAACTCTCTCTCTCTCTCTCTTACTATTGACAACACCAAAAATATAACCATACTCATTCTTGATCTGTTTTAGTCATTGTATTTTATTCTCCTAGGTCAGTTGATATTAATACTGAAGCGGGGGCTTCTCGGATGGGTCCCACTGGTCGGGAAGGTCGTGGACCCCAGGACCGACCTGATCATCATCAAACTACTGGGGCCTCAACTGACGCCACCGCGGTAGCTGGAGGATAGGCTTTTTTCATAATTCATTTTTCCAACATTCGTGGACTGACATCCAATTTTCATTCTGTGGAGCACCATCTATTAACCTCTTCCCCCAACCTCTTACTACTTTCCAAACTTCAACTGACCAAAGCAGCTTCACCCAAACCTCTTCAAGTCTCCAACTACAACCTTTATACCTCCTTCAGTTCTAAGGGAGGTGTGTATGCGCCTACTGGAATACAAGTATTGTACTGTACACCTATAAGGGATTCATTCGTCCTAACTTGGAGTACTGCTCTCATATCTGGGGTGGCTCTTCTTCTGTCCAACTATTAGATAGGGTGGAATCTAATGCATTTCGTCTTATTAACTCTCCTCCTTTAGTCGACAATCTCTCTTCCCTTTCTCTTCGCCGCAATATTGCTTCCCTCTCTCTCTTTTACAAGTACTTTAACGGGCAATGTTCGGTGGATTTGGCATCCTGTGTACCACGGGCAAGACCGTGGGCTCGTAACACACATCTTGCCCGCATTGCCCACCATTTCTCCGTGGATGTTGGTCACACGAGAATAACCCATTATAGTACTTCCTTCTTTCCTCACACAGCCAAACTGTGGAATGCTCTGCCTTCTGTGTTTCCATACTTATACAATCTGTCTCACTTTAAAAAGTAGGTTTTCCGGCATCTTCGTGGTGTAGATTAACAATATAACCTTTCTGTTCTTCCCCCCCCCCCCTCCCCAAGGCCCCATTGTGGGTCGTTTGACCTGTGCTCGGGTGGGCTAATTCCCGTAAAAAAAAAATTAACTCTACATACATTTCTTAAGTGTGAATTCAATGAGACAACATCCTGCATAAACACTGACCTAAACACTGGTCAAAATTACAATTCAGAAAAAGTTATGACAGCGGTCAGACTGATAATGCCTCTACCCCATAAAAGATTTAATTTGGAAACCCACACCATGCTTTGTTAGCCATTAATATCAGAGGCATACACTTATTGTGAAATCTCGTTAATTGGATAAAACATTCAAATTAGTTAAAGATAATTCTTATATTTGTGGTCTTCTAAAATTTTCATATAATCTGAGACTGTACTGCAGACAAATCAACAGTCACATGCCAGTTTTTAAATACAGTACAGGACAAGTATCCTCCCAAAATAATATGCTTGATATAAGAAAAATTGCTTTAATTAAAGTCACATTTAGACAACATTCTTTATACAAAAGCAAATTTTCACTTTAACGAATAACGATCAGATTGATACTTTTTCGGTAAAGAATGCAAAATTTTAGCCATCACGACAGTAAATATAGCCAACCATAATTGCAAGGGGGAAGGGGACATTTACATTCTACTGCAGGAGGCGTCAAACATGCAGCCCGACACTCTTACACGCGGCCCATTTGCTGATCCAGCCTTACCTTGAGGAGCTAAAACTAAATGGGTGGTGTATCCCTCAGCTGAATAAAATAATTGATCTCCAGTGTGATTCTGTGTTGAGGAACAAGTTTTCGAGTGTTGA